CTCCCGCCCCTGCCCCCACCACTGCAGATTTGCCTGTTCTGGACATTTTACGTAAATGTAATCACATGCCATGGGGCCTTTTATGCTTGTTGTTTCTTTTGGGGGTTTTTTTAAACTGGCAGCTTTAAACCATGAAATGGCCATAAAGAAACTTCAGCCTGATGCAGAGACTCAACAAGACCACTTCTTTTTTTTTCTTAATGTTTTTATTGATTTCAGAGGGAGAGGGAGAGGGAGAGGGAGAGGAATAGAAACATCCATGACAAGAATCATTGATCAGCCACACGCCCCCCACTGGGGGTGGAGCTCGCAACCTAGGCATGTGCCCTTGACCACAACTGAACCCAGGACCCTTCAGTCCATGGGCCGACGCTCTATCCACTGAGCCACACCAGCCGGGCCAAGGCCACTTCCTAAAGTCCTCTGTGAGCCCAAGGCCTGTGCATCCAAGTGTCCAGGACAGTGGCCCAAGCCAGGGTGGCTCAGTGAGTAGAGCGTCGGCCCATGGACTGAAGGGTCCTGGGTGTGATTCCGGTCAAGGGCACGGACCTCGGTCACAGGCTCATCCCTGGCCCTGGTTGGGGTGCGTGCGGGAGGCGATGAATCGATGTGTCTCTCTCACATCGATGTTTCCCTCTCTCTTCCACTCTCCCTAAAAATCAATGGAAAAATACCCCTGGGTGAGGCTTAACAACAACAAAAAAGGAGCCGGATAGCGAGGTTTTAATAAAACCACAGGGAGCGTTTCTCTAGGCCGCAGCCACCAACCAGGGGTCCGCGTCCGTTTTTTAAAAAGAATGACATCCGGGTTAAGAAATGCTCCAAACTGTGGATTTTAACCCAAGGCCTCCATTTCCATGTCAGAGCCCCTGAGCCAGTGTTAGGTTTAAATAAGGTGAATTATTGATGATGGAAAAACAAACAAACAAACAGACAAAAATAAAAACCCCAGGAGCCCGGCCGGCAGACGTGGCTCAGGGGTTGAGCGTCGACCTATGAACCAGGAGGTCACAGTTCGATTCCCGGTCAGGGCACATGCCCAGGTTGTGGGCTCCATCCCCAGCAGGGGGCGTGCAGGAGGCAGCCGATCCATGATTCTCTCTCATCATTGATGTTTCTCTCTCTCTCTCCCTCTCCCTTCCTCTCTGAAATCAATAAAAATATATATTTTAAAAAACAAACAAAAGCAGGAGAATGGCTGCCGATGCCTGGGGCCCTTCTCCCTGCTCTGAGCACCCTGAGGCCCAGTGGAGCGGCTTCACGTCCCCACCCGATAGAAAGTTCCCAAGGGGCTCGGGACATTAAGACAATGACTGCTGTTTCCATGGAGACATCTGTGATGCCACACGCTGCTCCCAGGATCCCACAGGACGTGGAGCTTTGGAAGTGGCCTCGCGTTAGTTAGGTCTCCGGGTCCGCGCCCGCCTCGCCGCCCTGTCTCGGACAAGAGGCACCCCCGCGCTGCTCTGTCAGACAACAGACAATGCGGCTCAGCCCTCGGCCCTCCCCCAGATTTTGCCCATGGGATCCAGGAGGCCTCAGAGACAGAACCTGCTGCTCAATCCGATGGAGAAGGGCCTGATGGTGCTCCGCAGCGTGGCCGGCCACGACTGCCAGCCCCCAGCGTGGAAGCTGCGAGCCAAGCAGCAGTCCCTCAGCAAGTCGGCTCAGGCCATCAACCTCTACTACAGGAGGAAGGTAGGCGCCCGGGGCCGCCACTCCGCCCACAGGCCGTGCGGCCACCCCAGCTCTCCAAAGAGCTGGGTGTTTCTATAAATATACTAGAGGCCCAGTGCACAAAATTCGTGCAGGGGGGCGGGGGTGTCCCTCAGCCCAGCCTGCACCCTCTCCAATCTGGGACCCCTTGGGGGATGTCCGACTGCTGGTTTAGGTCCAACCCCATCGGGCCTAAACCGGCAGTCAGACATCCCTCTCACAATCTGGGACTGCTGGCTCCTAACCGCTCACCTGCCTGCCTTCCTGATTGCCCCCTAACTGCTCCCCTACCAGCCTGATTGCCCCCAACTTCCCTCCCCTACCGGCCTGATGGCCCCCAACTGCCTCCCCTGCTGGCCATCTTGTGGTGGCCATCCTGTGACAACATCGCTGTGGTCATCTTGTGATGACGTCATGTGAGGGCGTCAGGCGATGCCACCTAGGCTTTTATTATATAGGATGTTTATTGATTTCAGAGAGGAAGGGAGAGGGAGAAAGAGAGAGAGAGAAACATCAATGATGAGAGAGAATCATGGAT